TTTTCCCTTTACTCTGTTTTTCATGATTATTTCTGATGGTCAAGGTCAATGTGCTCTTTACTTACAGTGTATGTGTCTTTTTTTCTAGATCTAAATGTGGAGAAAGGGATGAACTGTCACCAAAGAGAATCAAGATAGAGGTACAGTATTGCGACTCCTATATTTTGACCTATGTGTCCTAAAATTCACTTTTGTTTGGAAGGGATCTGTCTTAAGGAAATTTGTCAGGAAAACATTTGACAGACATTTGATGGGTGTGAGAGAGAGAACATCGCCACTGTCTCTGCAACTGTAAATGCTTGTTGGAGAAACCTGTAGGAGCAGGGGTAAAGAGTAGGATTTGCTTAATGATAAAGATACTCTCCGTGTTTTGCACTCTTGAGTGGGTAGGAGGGAGATGAATGGGACTGACTGACTTCCTGTGGAGGAATAAGCTCGAGCTCGATAGGAAATGTCTTCCCATGAGGACTTCTGCTTTTAAGTCAGTGTGAGGTGGGGTTTTCTTAATTTGCTTGAGTCAACTTCTGATCATGTCTAGAATCCAGAGTTCTGGGTAAGAACTGATGGCAGAATACTAGCCATCTCTGACTGTGCTATAAATTATAAACCTGATCGTGTTGAAAAGTCAAAAGCCGACTAAAAGCTATATATGTCAACACAAATGGTTGTGCCTGTAGATACTAATTTGCAGGTTTTTGTGATTAGTTTTGTGTGAAAGCACATGTATACGTGGCTAATGTATGCACCTGCACAAGATGGTTGCTCAGGGAGATGCTGGGCGTTTCTTATTAGGAGTGAAGGAGGAACATGTATGTAGTTTACCTGTTTCTTCAGTTACCACTGCTGGAAAGATCTTCCTTTTTAATTGAGTTTTTAAACAAATTGCTGTTTCACTGTTACATGGGTATCTAATTCATCCTTAGGTGTTGTATTTTTTATTGTCCTGTCTGCTCCAAAAGGTGTAGGTTAAATGCGCATTAGAATGTATGCTAGACCTGAGCTAGATTTGTGTGTGACACAGATGGGTGATATATTCTTTAACTGTAGAGGAAAGGTTCAACGTATTGTAGAATGTGTTTCTGATACATAACTCAGTCTGTGATAAATGATGCACTCAATGGAAAGCTTTCATTTTTTCAGCAGTGCTGCGGTGCTTTGTTACCTGTGCAAGGGCTTTTCCTGTGAGGCAAACCCCGGTGAGAGTAGTTAGTTCTGAAAAGGCAGTTATGGATAGCTATAGAGGAGTTCTAGAATTTATTTATTTATTAAGTTCCATCACTTGAGGTTTGAGTTTATATAATACAAAATGTGCATGTACATTCAGGATTTACTGGTAGCTTTGATGGTAAGTCAGTAATATCATTTAGATTTGTTGGTATTTGCTTTGACCTATGCTTTTTCTTCGATTCAGGAAAAAGAGTGGAGAAAAGCAACATTAAATGATTTTATCCGCCTTCACCATTATCTGCCTTAACTAACACATTGCAGGGTGGTTGCTTGAGCCTCCCCACTTTTGTCCAGTCTAGTCCTGATTTGTAAGAGCTGGTGGGCGGCCACAGCTCCTTTGCTTGAAATAGTATTTCATTATTAGATCTCAGCATTAGAAAGTTTTTCCTTCATTCAGTAATAATTGATGATGAGCAAGTACCTAAAATGACATACTGTAAGAGAGGTGCTTTTTTCCACAGGATCTTCATTGAAAGAAAAAGTAAAATTAAAATCCTAAAAAATACAGGCTGAAACTTCAGGGTTTTTTGGAGAGAAGGGAATTTGGACAGCCTTAGGACATGTGCATTCTCTTGTTTTCTGCATGGTGAAATCTAGAGAGTCTGGAAGGCCTGCTTTATCTAGCTGCATAATTCTGAGAAAGGATGTTTACTTCGTTTTCTTTTTATCTAAAATTACCAGTCATATTTTAAAATGCTTATAAAAATTTCATGTCCTAACTGTACAAGCTACTATTTCAGCAATAGGAATTTAAAAAAAATAAATTGAAAATTAAACTAAATAATCTTTCATTTGATAGCATAGCATTAAAAATTGTGAAATGACCAGTGTTGTTATCAGCATAAATTGTCTTTTTCCTTATAAGTTTGGGAGCCTTCTAAGGCATAAACCATTACTTCAGTGCATTACAATTCCGAGTTACAGTGCAAATCATGGACTTTACTTAAAAAAAAAAAAATGTGGTGTTACACAGTACATCACTTTTACATGTGATGTTTCAGGTTCTTGGGGCTTGCATTTTGAAAAAAAAAAAAAGAATTTTTTTAATGTAGGTTTGGGGATTTTGTGGGGTTTTTTATTTGTTTTTAGAAAGGTAGAGGTAAAAATGAAAATGGTAGCAAATGCTGCAGATTTTTCCTTCTGTTCTGGATAAGAATTCCTTATCCTGTTTTTAAAGTCATAATGCTTCATTATGTCTTGATTAGCTCGCCGTCATGCTAATATCATGCAGAGGATCCGAACATGAATGATTTTGTTGTTGTTGTTGTAACTAGCTCTGTCTTTTTTTTTTTTTTTTTAATATAAAGGTTACTTTGCCTTTCTGTTTTGCGGCTTAACTCTGTATTTTGATTCACCATTCCTTTAACCATTAGTCATTAATGTCTCCGCAAAGCATGGTCTAAAATACTAGCGCTTGAATTTAGAAAGACTTCACACCCTGTTTGCATAGTGTAAAAGATTACTTAAAAAAAAAAAAAAGAGTTAATTTCCTGAAATTTAATAACACTTAAAAAAACCTCCAGAGAGACTCTGAAGGTCATGGTAGCAGAGCTGTTTGTGCAAGCTGCAACATTGCCAGGTTACAGCCACTATTGTACATTTATCCTCTTTGTGAGTATGAAACTCACACGAGCATTACAAAGAAACAATATGCCATGAATTACATCAAATTACCTGTAAAAGCCTTTCTCTCCCCCGGCGAGCTCTCCCCCTCTTATTCGTAGAGTGGGTGGGCGAGCTGTGGGAGTGAAGTGTCGAGAGGAGAAGGGAAAAAATCCCAGGCGAATGACAGACTGAAGGTGCGGAGGGAGTGAAAAAGGGAATGCAGCGAATTGGGATTTGGAAGCAGATTATAAAAAAAACGAGGTGGCAGTTCCTAAATCTGCTCTGGAGAAAGAGCGGGACAGATGAATAGGGATGGAAAGGGAGCATCCTCCCGCAGAGCAAGGATCTCCAGCATAGGTGTTGCGGGGTGGGGGCACCCCTTATTTTGTCATCTTCTGTGACTCAGAACCAGCACTGCTCAAAGTGACGAGCTGTCGTGGCACCAGCTTCAAAAGCCAAAGAAGTCACAGGTGTATCGTGCAGAAGGCGTGGAGGGAGCGGAGCAGCTGCACATCGCTGCTGCTCTGCGTTGGGGCGGATGAGGTTCCCCTGCAGAGGCAGTGTGGACAGCCAAGAGAGCAAAGAACGAGAGCTTGGAAAATATTCTTGCTGTCTGTGGCAGAAAGGAATCGTTCTGTGTGTCAGTGTCTCCATTCAGCTGAAGGAGAGGGGTGGGGAGAGCTTGCAAAAGCTGATTTCACAAAGCTCGGTGGGAGTCAGGGGGCACAGGCAGGAAAGACCGGAGTGGAGGCTGCGAGGAATTATCTTCCCTCGGTGCCGGTATGGGTGAAGGGAGAGGAGATGAGAGAAAAGGCCCACCTCTACCAGTGCTGAGAAGGTTGAGAGGAAAACCAGTCCAAGTGTGGGATTTGTGTTTTGTTCACAAAAACAGCAAAAGCAGTAGAAGCTACTGTTTGCATAGGAAAAATGTCATTAGAGGGAGCGAAAAAGCACATGTGGGACTGAGAACATCTGCTGCACGACGCGGCTTGAAAAACAACTGAGCAGCAGCGTGGCAGAACATGAACGCTGTGCTGCCTGCAGCAGGTCCTCCTGGCCGCGGAGGGGAGAGGAACTGCCGGGCAAACCTGGAGCAGAGCAGCTCCTGCTCCTCGTCAGCCCTTGTCCGTGGGGCAGCGGGGAGGAGAGCAGCCAGCGGTGGGGAAGGGCTGCGGGAAGGTGATCCAGAACCGCACCATCATCTGAGAGTTGTCTGTCACCCGTCGGTCACGGCAAGGGGCAGCAACGGGCATCCGACCCCACTTGTAGGAACCAGCCTTTGGTTGTGTGTTGGCAAGTGATCACAGACACGTTGTGAAGAGCTGCGTTACCTGTTTTGTTGCAAAAATAGGATCCTGAGTGATAGGGTTTTGTGTGTTCAGTTTCTCATCTTCCTACGCATAATCGTTCTCGTCTCCTGAACAAATTCAAATCTAACTACGAAAATGGTCAGTGTTCATGGAAATGTGCTGCAAAGCCTTTGTTTCTAGAGGATGAGGTTTTGTGGCAATTTACCTGGTTACAAAATTTTGCATACCTATCATGTTTATTTTTTCCCTGAGGGAGTGTGTTGAGTGGATAAAAGCAATATGCAGTGTTCAGACAGAAATTTTATTTTTTCCTGAACATAAAGAGTAGCTTTACTGGTGTTACGTTGTACTCTGAGGGTCTGGCCACTTGATGTGGGTCTGACCACCGCCATGGGCAGTCTGCCAACAGTATGGACCTTACAGTCTTTCAGTGGTTTCTCTGAAAGATCACTTCTCTTGTTCTTGGGCTGTAACCCATTTGTCCAGCTATTATGAAAAACGTTACTATTTGCATAGATTCATAGATTCATAGATTTCTAGGGCATGTGCCTCTAGAATCCACAAGGGAAATATACGTAATTTGATGTACTTTTGTACAGTAAAGTAATTTGATGTACTTTTGAAGTTCTCGGGTCTATGGATCTGCAGTGACAGATGCCACTGTTTTCAGTTTTGGGTCTGTCTTAAGGTCTCTAGCTTCCTCTCACATGTTCAGTGTCACCTATACTGTGCTTTTGTAAACGTTTCTGGATGTTCCTCTGTTTTATGTGAGATTTCCTTTTATAACGCCAAGCAGGATAAATTTCTTACGTTGAACCTTTGCTTCGATGATTAATTTATTTTAATGGAGTCTGGCAGGCTTTCACAGGAACTTCATTTACTTTATTGGTACATATGCAAGCTGCAAAAGAGATTCGCGTGTCATAAGCATTTGAGACTGAAAGAATTATGGAATCATGGTTTCCCATAAAGTCTTTGCTACCCTACTTTTAAAATGGTGATATTTCATTTGTGATACTAGTAAAGGCTCTGTGTGAAAAATGCTGAATTTCACGAGTCTTTACTAACCTTGAGAAACTGAGCATATCCAACTGCTGTGTGTTAAATTCTTGACTACATATAAACTTGATTGCTTAAGAATCTCCAAAGCTACTGGATGTTAACAGGTGACAGAAACCACAGGCTTAAATCTGCCTGGCAAGGCTAAATGTAAACTAGTTTAATGTCAGTGACAACAGTAGTCTGGATTCACCTGAAACTGTGAGAGATGATTGTCTGTGTATGCCATTCTAGATGTATAGCAGTTGTAGAGGGGGTGTGTGTTTTATGCACAAACTTTAATGAAGTGGATAGGAAGAACATGTAAATTGCAGTCCAGAATTTTCACAAAAGTTCAGGAATGTGGTGTGGTTTGGTGTTTTTTTTCGTTGTGGTGGTTTTTTTTGTTTTGTTTTGTTGGTTTTCCTTTGGAGTATACAGAGAGAAGGTGAAGAAAAATCAATAATACATCCCTCTTGGTGTTTGTTTTCTTCTTATGCTCAATAGGATGGTTATCCTGATTTCCAGGACACAGTCCAGACACTTTATCAGCAAGACAAAATGCCACTTGCTTTGGCTAAAGGAAAGAGCGAAGACTCAACACCTCTTAATTCCCAGGTAAACCAGCTACGCTACACTGTGAATAATACCGGCCATGTCTTTGTACATTGATTTTGATGTATTGTTTTGATGACTAAAGTCATTGCCATCAGTTTTCAAAGGCTGCCTAGCTTAGCTGTGATTGCATCACTCTTAATTTGGGTTTGCCTTCTGAAACTGTTCTGACACAGTGCTACAGCTTTACCCTTGCTAGTTCCGAGGAGGTAAGATCTAGTGTATTAGACTTGGAAATACGTGGTTGCCTGTTGGGAGCAAGCAGGGTAGTGTTGGTACAGTATGTGCTGTGTGACTTGCGTTATTAGCTATAAATGGAAAGTTCGAGTTACTGAGTCTGGAGGAATAGAGTAGGCGATCTTGGAGTCCTCGGTTCTGACATTTCTTGTAAGAAGAAAGGCCAGTGTATTTAGGAAATAGTGAACCTCTGGATCCGAGAGGATAAATTGCCTTTCGAAATAACGTCTAGCCTGCCAGAGGTGTAGTGTTTTCGAGCATCCAGAAAGCTTTTTATAAATGAAGGCAGGTTTCCGATTCTTTGTCTTTTCTGTAGTGTATCCCAGCCTTGAGGCAAAATACGCGTCTCCTACTAACAGTTGTTGCCAAGGAGGGATTTCATGCTAAGTTGCAACAAATCTATTTTGTGTAGCTGATTTGGGCAAATGTAATCACCGAATTTTCACGTAAGATTACATTTAGGAGTTACACTCCTGTTTTATGAGACTAGATGTGTCACTCTGTCTTTTACCTTCTTCTATTGCAAAGTAGTGTACAGTCACACAAATCTGTTCATTGTGATACTTCAAAAAGCAATTATGCTACATGTTCTGATGTCACATACTGATGAAATGAACTTGGTTTTTGCAAGCTTATTTTCATCTTGTATGTACTTCAGAGTTTTCATTGGTCACTGCTAAATCACAACAGACGAGATTTATTTTAAGGTTAAATGTATCTGCAACTCTACAGGTTTTTCTATGGTGATCAGATGTGTCATTGCAGTTTGAAACTCTGTTCTTATCCCAATTAAATAACAAAGATGGCATGAGTGAGAAATGTGTTTTTCTTTCTTAAAAATTATTTCATGGATTTCATAGATTTCATAGATTTCCAGGTTGGAAAAGACCTTAGAGATCATCCAGTCCAGCCGTCCCTAATCTCCCATTAAACCATATCCTTCAGTAGTTCATCCACCCTTTTCTTAAACACAGCCAGGGATGGGGACTCAACCACCTCCCTGGGCAGCTTATTCTAGTGGCTGACAACCCTTTCAGAGAAGAAATACTTCCTAACATCCAACCTGAATCTCCCCTGACTAAGCTTATACCCATTTCCTCTTGTCCTATCACCCATCACTAATGTAAAGAGCCCTTCCCCCACCTCCCCACCATCCCTTCTCAGGTATTTGTAGGCCGTATTAACAGTTCAAAAGTTGTAACAGGAGTGACAGAATAGCAAAATTAAAGTGCACTTGGAAGTAAACTATTTGAAAATAATTTCTTTTTTAATCTACCTCCCAAGACCAAGCTTGAGCTATCAGTGTTCTTCTGCAGAACATGATGAGCTCTAAGCCAGAAAAAGTAAATATTGTCATGTCATTACCATGCTGCCGGGGTCATCGTTGTACTGGAGTACCTCAGATTTTGCTGGACTGTTAGGCTCTCATTGTATTTGTAAATTGTTGATCTATACTGAGTAAGCAGATCTTGGTGGGAAGTCAGGGCTGTCATCATCTCTCAGAAAAAGTGCTCTGTGTTTAATAGGCCTCTGTATTAGTTGAAACGATTACAGCATTACCTGAAAGAAATGAATTTTTTCCTGTCAATCGTGGATGTTAAGTTTGTATGCTGTCTGTTCTTATGTGCAATGTGGCTCTTCTAAATCAACTTTCTCGACTTGTGATTTTCTCTTTATTTTTGCAAGATGCTTATTTACACTCTCGAGAACAAGATCATATTGAAAGTTAGAATTCTCTTGGCATTAAAGTCAATGACAAACATTCAGACGCCATTTCCTCCCACGTTGGGCTGCATTGTTTAGTTTCACTCTCTAGAGGTGTATAGGTCTTGTTCTTCTTCTAGACAGACATTTCACACCTTTATCCCCCACAAACATACTGTCATCCTACACTTTCAGAATGGCAGATTTTTAAGCTTGTGTAGTGCTGTTTCCTAAAATAAAGATTCCAAGATGTCTGGTGAAATCTTGGCATAAGTTTTTAGCAGATGTTGCCATTGCTCTTGGAATACTTTGTGAAGACATGTATTTGAACAGAGCTAACTGGATAAATAAGACATTATTTTTCGCTTTTCTGGAGATTCTCTTCACGTAACCGGCAGTCCTAAAGTGCAGAAAGTGATTTTTGTGTGTTTTTTGAAGAACAGAATTCAACATTGCATTTCTGTGTGGATGAACTACAGCAGCTTGCATTTTAAGTATTCTTGCGTGACTCAGATGCACAGTATGAAAATCTTTATGGGTGCAAAAATATTTTGTTTGCTTGATAGTTTTGAAGAAACTGTAAAGCACACATCTGTACATGTGAGTCAACAAAAAACTATATCTAGGCTGTTAGTCTTATCATGTGATATTGTTTTTTCTCCTGTGTTTTGACTGGCTATATGTATGTATATAAAGATAAAATTTTTTGTTGCTTTATTTGCAGTCGGAAAAGGTGATGGCAAAACAGATGGAGTTTCTTTGCAACCAGGCTGCATTAGAGAGACGTCTTTCCACAGGGTGTTACAGACAAAACTCAGAAGAGCACAGCCCCAACGGCATGTCATTAGATAACACTGATGGACAAGGTATGGTAGCTTCCAGGCACAGCCTTGCCGCCAGCAAATACGTTTGGTATTGTGCAGCCTTTGTCAGTGGTGTTATTTATCTAGTGTAGAACACTGAGCACTGAATGGACAAGATCTCTGCCCTGGAGTGCTTACAGTCTCTAAATAACGCACTCAGATGTACAGTCAGATTCTGCTCTGTTACTCTAATGTGTCTGGGCGAACTGATTTCCCTATGGCTAATGTGGGGAGGGAAGATGATGGGGGGCACTACAGTTACTGAGGGTGGAACGTGGCTCTAGATTTCTCCTGAGTTTTGAAAACAGAGCAGAATAGGACATTTTGTGTTCTTGCTTTGTGGAGATTGAAAGTAAAGCAAATAATGTAGTTGGTACCTCTTTTTGTCAGCCCGTTTGTGCAGTCTAGGAACAAAACCTGAGGAGCTGGCTATGTAAATTACTTAGAACTAAGCAGATTCTAATGATGTTCTTAGTAGCTTGTTGTTCTTCACAGAGCTTACAGTTTTGTGGTTATCTCTTTGATTTACCAACTGGCTATTCCTTAGCTCGAATTAATTTTAGGAGTGTTTGTTTTGTTTGAGTGCTTTCTGTTTGGATTTCTTTTTTTACTGTTGTGAAATGAGACAAAATGTTATAAACACAAGAAATTCAACCAGAAGTTCTTGTTTCTGTTTTTTAAGAGCTAGATTGTTTAATGGGGAGCAGAGAAGCAGTAGAGGGAGACACTTAAAAAAACCTCCAGAGAGAATCAGTGGGAATCAATGTAAGTGTTAAAACGTAGGTTTTTGTTTGTGTATATTGGTCAAGCAATGCAGTACACAAGAAGAATGGTATACAGGGAGAGTTACGTGTGTGGATCCAGCTCTTCTTGATAGTGCAAGTATCTTTTTATACCATTTATCCATCATGCAGTGGGAGCAGGAATTTTTAGTATCTCAAAGGAATTGTGCAACAGGAGAAGAATTTACTATTGGGTGTTTTTGTGTGTGTGGCTGAGTGTCCCTTTCTAGCAGTGCCTGTGGAACAGTCTGCAAAGCAGCATGTTTACATAAGCCTTGTTTTGCTACAAATCTTCCCTGAGCAGCTGGAATTTAGGATGCGCTTTTGCTGATAGAATTAGTATGTCTGTAAGTCTCTATCTGTTTTTTAATATTGCTTTGCTTTTAACGCATCAGTGTTTCACTGTGAACAACTTCCAGGTGAAAGACCGCTGAATCTCCGCATGTCCAATCTGCCAAGTAGACAGTTGCAGCACATTTCACTTGATGGAGAGCAGCATGTTGGAAAACCTTTGTGCAGTGATTTGATCCGGCTTTACCCCAGTGGTGAGGCAAAGTCCCAGTCCTCAGGTTAGTGCTGGCCCTTGAAAATCACCCACCGTTTCTTACAGAGCCTGTGATGAACTTACTAACACATGATGTCTCTGAGTGAAGCAGCTGGTAGCTCAGCCTGGAGTGCTTTGCGTGTAACATTTTAATCAAGACCTTGGACAAAACTTCCAAGAGGAGCGAGCATTACTTGCTGATCTAGAATTAGATTAAATAGTATTTGGGAAAAGCTTAGAGGATGGAGTAACTAGGTTCACATAAGCCAGTTCTGGCATTTGTCTGTTCTCAGGGAGCGATATTGACCCAAACTACTGCTCTTAAATACTTGTGTTGCTGTCATTGTAAGGCAGTTTGATTGTCACATGGCTTTGCTCTGTATAAAGGAATCAGACTTTTTTTATAAAAAGACTTTTTATTGTGATTTATAAGGATCCAGCCCAGTTTCTGTACTGTGAACCAAATCACACATGAGTCTTTGAACTGGGTTTCCCGTTTGCTGACTTCTGCCCACCATCAGTCTTGTCATTTACCTCTGGCATTGGGAGAAACTCACTCTTAAGTTTGATAGAAGATCAAAGATTTCCTTTGTGAAATCTGTATGGGTGATTTCAGTTCAATACTCGGCACACCGAGGTAAAGCCAGGAATTCTTGAGACTTTAGGAATAATAATAAATTCTCACCTGAGCTTGGAAGATGCAATGGGAAAGAGGTTATTTGAAAGACAAGATGCAAAAGCAGTTGTTTTGAAGACTGGTCAGAATCTTGCATCTTCCACTTGTGTACATTAGAATCTTGGCTCACCTTTTTTGCGGTTTGTCCCAATCCTGGTGATAATTTGCTTAGTGAAATTTCTAGTTGAGGAATTTTACCAGTTCCCTTTCAAAATGAAAGTGAAGAGTGCATCCTCACTACGCCCTGCTCCAAGAGAGAATTGGAGTAAATCTGTGGTCATTACTCTGTCGTCACTGTGATGTAACTGAGGTGATTCTAACCCAACTGGACTAATGTGCAGTAGGAGGAGGCAGAATTTATTGCTTCAACTGTTACTATCCATATGGTTCATGGATGTTTTTGTTGAGTTAAGAACAGAATATATTTGTTTCCAAACAGTGTTTTTAACATTCTTTTTTTTCTTTCTTTTTTTTTTTTCAATACAGAAGGCCTTGGTATTTTAAAGGATTTTCCTCATTCGGCTTTTAACAACATAGAAAGGAAGGTCATAAAAACAGAACCTGAAGACACAAGATAGTCACTCTGCTCTGGAAAATGTTGTCATAGTAAAGAAAGAAACTTCACAAGAGGAAAAACAAAACAAAACAAAAACAGCCTTAATAACCAGTGTTGCCTCATTCAAATAAGAGATTTCAATAGCCAAAGCCTAAGAACTGGTACAGTAATCTGTGGAAACAGAACAGCAAGAGACACTGCAAACTAAAACAGTAATACAGGTGGATAAACATTCCTGTAAAAGTGATTTTATAACGTGGGAAGATTCACAAATTAATATTGTGGGTCTTCATTATTTAAGAATGTATTATGTATTTGTATAACTTATCAAAGTAAATCTAGATGTCGGGACGTGTATTGAGTCCAGTAGATGTGGCTACAGTTCATTTTACTTGAAATTTCAATGTCTACTTTAAGTGTACCTAGCGTAGATATGGTTGTTAAACATTTGAATTAAAAATCCTTGGCGAATTAGGAATGCGAACCTTGTGACACAATTAACTGCAAGTTTGCAACAACATTTGTAGAAAAAAAGGAAAATGCATAAAATATTTCATGGTTTAAAATGTTATGTGGATATAGCATTTGATAGACCTAGACCCTGATTCTGTATCATAGCGGACGTACTTGACACTTAACTATTGTTACATCACTTCCAATGGTTTCAGCAGCCTTTGTGTAACGCGATTATAGCATAATACCTCCCTACAGTTCAGGAGCGTAGAAAGTGCCGGTTAGCCTACGGAAGAGTCCATGTGAACGGCTCCCATTTTGTTGGGGAAAACTACAGTTTGATATACCATACAATTACCGAAATCTCATTCGGTAGGAAACCCAAGAGACCAAGTAGCGTGGACAGGGCTGCAAAAATTGTGATTCAGACCATGATAACTTTTTGGACTTCTCTGTGGATCTTTGAAAAAAGTAAAATGCATCCTAGGTATGGCAGAGATGAAATATGATGCAGGATTTATGCATCAGTATAAAAGGTTGCACTCGATATCCAAAAACCATAAGATGTTTTGGAGGAGAGACAAGGGGTTATCTCTTTAGCATGTGACTCCTTATTAAGTGCTGTCCCGCCCACATGATTCTATGAATATCCCGTATACTGCATACAGTATGCCAATAAGTTTCTTTATAAATGTGTTTAATTAACATCTGTATTCTTTATTTATTTGACAGTTTTTATTTTTTGTACGTTTTCACTTTTGCAGGTGTCATTTTATCTAAGGAGAAATAGTCGGCATATAACTTTGGAATTTACCATGGTGTGTTTGTGTGCATCCGTTTTTCCTCTGTGCAACTCCCTCAATAAGAGTTGCTTTCCCGCCGTCGAAATAGTTATATGCCTGAGATTCTGAATACAGTTTTTGCCTACAATGTGTTCTGGAGGGGAAAGGGAGGGCTGGAGAAAGTCTGTTACCATGCCAGTGGGTCAACTTCCGTATTCAGGTGTGCACTTCGTGTCTGCAGTTTGCTCTGTGTCATAGATGTGTATCAACAACTCAGTCACAGTCCGTGTTGTACTGAAACGATCAGCAAAATGTGAGCTGAAATGTCTACACTGCAGTCTCTTATCACTGTAAACGTATCTAATTATTTTATCACTTTTGATTTGTGGAACAAAGCTTTATAGTAGAAACACCAGTAAACAACTTTTTATACTATTAAAATGTTTGTTTTTTTAAAAAAATGTTTCTTGAACTGTATGGTACTGTTTCACTTACTGAAGTATCTTACTTTAAGCAATGGAGTTCGCAGCTTTGCTGTTAGAAGTAAGAGATTGAATGTGTAGTTATATTTCCTCTTTCCTGTTGTGTGAGCTAGTAATACGGATAAGATATTTCTTCGGTTTGTAACGTTAGCCAGTGCCCTGGTTAGTATCTGAGTAGCTTTCATGAGACGTGTATGGAACTTGTTAAAGGTCAGCTTCAGGTTTGAACTGTACGGCTCGAGGGGATAGAAGGTACCAAGCTACAAGACTTTAGAGATGCAGGAAACGGTCTGTTGTTTCAACATCTGGCATGATCAAAAGTTGTGCGTGGATCACGGAAGAAGCTCTTAAGCTTGCTGGTCTCTTCGGTTAAAGTGAGAGGAAGGAAAAAGAACCTGCTAAGCAGCACGCTGTTTCAGTTGAGTCCAGAATTTATTTTGTAAACACTAATGTATTAAATTTGCTATAAATTAAAGTATATAACAGTTATATTTTTCAGTTGTAAATACAGTACTTCATGTCACGACCAGTTGGTTATCTCTAGAATGATATTTCAGTTTATAGTCCAACAGGCCATTTCAGTCTCAATAAGCTGGAAGCAATTTTTTTTTACTGGTTTGCAACTGTGTCTTTTTTTTTTTTTTTTTAACCTGGGGGGTGCGGGTGGGAGGATACGTTCCAAGATTGCACATACATTTGGTAAGAGCAAACATTCGAGCATCGGTCCTTCCATGACAAAAGTCTTGGTGGACTGCAGCTTGGCTAGCCTCTGGAGGACGAAGGTTTGCCCTCGCCGGCTCTCCAAGGGTTGCTAGATCCAGGGTACTCTGGATCAAAGGGCAGCCCCGCAAACGATGCCTGTTCTTATTCACATGTTTATATTGTTGCTTACAAAATAAAATTCACCGTGAGAACTCTTTAGTTTCCCCAGGGTTTTTCCTTTTTTTTTTTTTTTATGGTGTTTTCTAAAAGATGTTAATTTTCTGGGGCTAGGGGAGGAGGGAGTAGCTTGAACTGCAGCTCTTGCCAGAGGAAGCCTTTTCCTGCCCTTGTGGTTGAGTTCTTGTTTATGGGAGGCCTTGTGTGCACAGCCCGGGGGGCTTCAGTGGGCCAAGGCTAAGAGGGAGGAACTTAAAGCCAGGAAGGGTCTGCAGCATGGCATTCTTATTTGATGCCCTCTCTGCTTTTATATGTGCTTATCTTTGCCCAAGAAGGCAAACAAGGCAGATGTGCCAGGAAGGGATCCTAGGAAGTTGTGAGGGGTCCTTGGGAATTCAGGAGAATTGGCTGTCCCTTGGCTGCCCTCGACAGTTGTTTTGGTGGACACCGTGTCTCAACTCGCCTTCTAAATAAACAGCAGCCCACAACTCCATAGTCAAATGCTAAAGTATTGTTGGAGGACAGCAACTGAATGGGAGAGAGGGTATAAAAATGGGAGAGAAACAGACCAGGAAGCAAAAATATCAAAGAGAAGCAGAGGAGAACTTCACCAAAAACCTTCAAAAACATCCCAGTTGCTTAGATGGCACAGAAGTCAGGTATCATTCAAAGCAGAGGAGACAATCCACTCAGCCCCTCAGAGGGATGCAATCCCTCTGCCGTCTCCCAGCCCAGAGGAGATTAAATTTGGGAAATGAGAACCAATGGCTTAATGTTTGCTGATTTTCATCTGCACTTCCAGTGTGATCTTCTCCTATTCTGGGAGAGGAAATAGGAGGAGGGAGCTAGGCACTGTTGTCTTGAAGGTGCGAGGATGAGGCAGAACATGCCCCAGGTTAGTTATTGATCTTCCAGATAGCATGCCAATATAATTGGAAAACCTTTAGAGATTTTTTTTTAATCTTGATCTGGGCCGAGCAGTGACTGGCCGAAGTTCAATGAAAACACAGTGTGCTGGACAGGCATGGTTCTAATTTGAAATTTCAGGGGGTGCCTGTTTCTCATGTGGCCGAAGAAACTCATTGCTGTTTAATTTCTTGTTGCTGGCTACCGGCCTAGAGCTCCTGTGTCTTTTTCTAAATAATCATTTTATCCGAGGGTCATCAGGGACAGCTCCTGGCCATGGCTTTGCCCGTGACAGCAGCTGCAGAACTCGTTTCCTCCACGTTTTCTTTTCAGAACGCAGAAGACTCGTACGCAAAGGCCAGGTTCAGACACGGCGATGAAACGTCTTCCAGTGGCCTCTGGTTAAAGCGCAAACGCTCGCTACTGCAGTAATTGGGATTTGGCAAAGCTCTGCCCTGGGTCCTGGGCTCCCGGGGCGGCGGTGAGAGCACACCGTGCTCAGGACACCCCGTGCTGCTCCTTCCCCTCCACACAGAGAGGTTCTCCAGCTGAAAAAGCAGCAGGATCCCTGGCACCTTCACGCCGGGCTGTGGTTTTGGGGTGCTGGCTGGTGGGGCGGGGGGGTGTCTGCTCCCCCAGGTGGTCCTCCGCTGGGGCTGGGAGCAGGTGCTGATTCCCAGCCAGGAGGTGGGCTGTGAGCGGGAGCTGCTTCCCAGCCGGGAGGCGGGGTGCAGCCAGGTCATGCCGTGGAGCTCCCTGGCTGTCTTAAGCAGGGAAACGAGGAGAAATGCCATGAGGTTCTTTTCTGCCGTACAGAAGGGTTGAGAAGATGTTGTGCTGCAGTGATTCAGTGGAGAAAGGATAAATCCCTCACATACACCTACGCACCACCACGAGAAAGAACTCCGTGGGCAGAGAAGGAGCAGAACATGAAATATGAATTTCCTTGAGCTGCTCGGGAGGGATGGCTTTCCAGAGCCTTTCCTCCCATGCCTCTGCCTTCCCGCTGCCCGACTGTGCTGGGACGAAGGCCCACAGGGGCTCACCCTGCCCCACCACTTGCACCTGCAGCTGTCGTGAGGGGCGAGTGCCCTTCTCAGGTGGTTTTGAGCGGCCCTTCCCACCCGGGGAGGTGGGTCCAGGCTGACTGCCTGTCCCTGCAGGCAGCAGCCCCGGGGCTGGGGGGGAAAAAAGGAGGTGGCTCCCACTATGGAAAACCTTGGGAAGCCATAATGTAGGCTACTGCCAAGTCCTTGAGTCATCAGATGGTGCCCCAGACAAGTGCTCACCCCAAAACCACCACCCCATCCCCAGCCAAATCTGTGATGCTCCTGACTCCCTGTTCTTTGGGTAAGTCCACACGGAACATGGCTGTCTTTGGGCGGGGTGGGGGCTGCGACTGGAGCTGCTGAAAGGGCTGGTGAATGCTTTTGCCCATTTAACAAAACACACGGAGGTCTTCTTCTGAGACACGTCCCATCTGCCACGGTCTGTGGTGGAGCAGGGGCCGTGCAGACCCCAGGGCGTGAGTGGAGTCTCCCAGAGGAGACGTTGCAACAAAGGTGGTTGCTGCTGCTTTGGGTAGGTTTAATTCATGTTGCAAGGGGTTTTATTCAATTTTGTTTGCTTTCTTAAATATTTTATGTTATGTCTCAGTAAATTTGAGTTCCTCCTGTATCTCTAGAGTGTGTGTGTATGCAGTTAATTTCCTATTACCT